GCCGAGTGCCAATTGCCGCCGGGCCTCCGCACCTCGCCGGCAGCATTCCTTTCACCAATTTCCCGGATTTTACAGATCCAATTTCGCCAATTTAACGGGTTCCATTTCCCCAGTTATTATGAGTTTTGGCCAATTGTTTCCGTTCGTTTATGCAAACTGGCTTAGCCGTCAAAAGGAGCGGAAGTGTTCGAAAAGGCTTCAAACAAAAAATACATGAGAATATCTCAACTCTTGTTAATTTTTATTTGTTATGCATTACTTCCCTAACTTTTTACCTTGCGGACCCCTTTCACAGAACAAAATCCCGGGTTGACCGCTCTCATTCAAGTATTTAAAATGAGATAATTATAGTATGTAATAAATTGAATTTTTGTAAATTAGCCAGTCCTAATTAGGTGATGGAAGGGGATATCACAATGAAAGCAAAACATTAGATTAACTACTTAACTTTAAATACAAATTCCCGAATACAAAAATCAAATTGGACAGAACGAATCAATAGTATTGAGCCAATTTCAAAAGATTTGAACATTAATGATAAACGAATTAATGGGAAGAGTGATGTTTTTTTAGCCTGCACTATTTGCACATGTTGAATTTAATTTTTGATAGCTGGAGGCGGATTTCGGGTTCTGCATCCTAGACAGCTTCAGTATTTAGTTTTGAAGCTGTGTAGATAGAAAATCTGTATTCAAATAGGTAAGTTTTGGCACATGGAAGAAGAAAGTAAACGTTTCTTTTTCAATGAACGGTTGACTTTTTTTGTTCTCCTGTCAGAGTCAAAAATGGGGGGTGAGTATTGGACTTGAAAGTAGATTTCAAGATGGAATCTGAAATATTGTCTATCAAACATTGATATTCACTTGAAGGTAGACTGTGGTTGGCTTTGTCGAAATTGAAAACGGTTTGACCACCCATTCATGGTCTTACAGCATTGACACTACGGGGGGGGGGAGAAAAAAAACACTAATGACACCAAATTGTTAACTCTTGGTTGCTTTGGAACTACCCATCTTTTTGTATCCAAAAGTTGGTCTCCTACTTCCATCCATTCAAAGAAGTCGGTTTTGTTGACTACTAGAAAGGAAGAAAGGATTAGTGGTGAGCAATATATTTCAAACAGGTCTTTTGCCTCATTTAGCTTTGACATTTATTGCAAAGTCCTGATCGCACAATAGAAAAGTGTGTCCGTGCACTGGAAACTTGTGGGTGTTTTCTGTGAGTACCTCTTTACCACTAATGTGAGCATGCTTCGGTTTTTGTTCTGGCCACAGCATTTGTCAGGCATTGTACATCAATAAAAACGAATAAATTGTATTTTGGGATTTTGGCACTTAGCAGCTCAATTATTTGAGACGAATATCTAATGAAATTGAAATTAATTTATTGGTTTTAATATCAATTCGATTGATTTACATACCAGTATCTAACTCGGGCATTGCAAGTGAGGTCCTTTGTGCCAAATGAATGAATTATATAAAATTGTAAAATAAATCCATAGCGTGTTCTTTGTGTTTTGAAGCAATGCTGATCCAATTATTATTGAACTACACTCTTAAAAGGTGTTTTTCTTCAGTTTAGTTCAAAATCTGATGGTTTCACAAGTTTTTGCCTAATTTAAAATGAAGGAAAAATAGAGTATCTTCGCCATTTAATTTTTTTAATTACTTCAAAAATAAAGCAATCTAAATAAATTAAATTAAAAACATGTTGGAGGTAATTAATTGAATAAATGTGGCACTTCACACTGTACACATTCCTCTATCTTTTGGGAAAAGTTTTGAATGTGATAGGATGAAAGGTAATCTCAAAAAAGTTTTACTTCTGATGATTTTTTTACTGTTTTAAAGATAATTCTTACTCACAGTTGATTGTTTTCAACAATCTGGATTTCAAGCATTTTAAACACTCGTCATCAGGTTGAAGGAATTACAAACATGTTTCGACATGAATTGTACGAGTGAACCTGCTGCCAATTCACCCCTACCACAAGGTTCCAAACTATCTCTTGGCTCATCATTTGATTGTAGTAAAACAAGTACATATATAAAATATAAATGTTCTGATGTAATTAAACCAAACTTGACAAATCTATACTTCAAAAATTAAATATCCCATGTACAGTTGGGTCTATTGATAGAACTGTTAATTCTAGTGTATACTGCTTAATAAATAATAAATAAAACTGGAATGATTAAAAAATGGTCAAAAATAAAAAAAAATTGGTGAAAAATGACTGGCATGGGCTATTTGCAGTAGTCATGTCTGAAATTGTCGGAGTACTGGGATGTACTACCCCACCCAACTTATTTGCCTGACATTACCCCTTCAGGTTTTAACTAAATCCTGTCTTTGAAAAATTCCATTAATGGGTCTTTATTTCACTTGATAGGGACTGTGGTTAATCAAGGGTTCAATTCTTACTGACGCCCCTGGAATTTTCTTTCACTCTTGTCCCTTTCCTAAAAAAATATATGGCATACTATAAACCTACTGTGCTCTAAATAAAGCCACTTGGTCGAATTTGTTGAAAACAACTACTTATTTGATATATTTTATGTTTTTACAGTTTTCCCAATTGATATACAATTAAATGAACAATTGCTATATTGTTACTAAGATTAACTTTTTTATTTTTGACTTATTCAAAGATATCATAAGTTGACTTAAGGCTTTATTAGAATGAGTTGTAAAGTTCTTATTATATTCATTGTATGTATTTACACAAAATGCAGGTCGATTACGTACATTTGAAACAATAGAAAGATCAGGGGACTCGGTGGCCGCAAGGTTTAGTCTTTGACACGGCGCTCATCACTGTAAGGTAAAGGTCCCGGGTTCGAATCCAGCGGCCCTGCATTCGAACCCGACATACTTACAAATGGGCTTTTTTTCAAAAACACCGGCATCCTGAAGGTTTATATGACCGCTGCTGTTGCGAACCCTCGTAAAAAAAAAAATAAATAAATAAATAGAAACGATCATCTCTTTGAAATGTGAGACGATGGCGACCTGATCCACGCCTTCTTGAATAACCTCCATTATCTTGATAGCAAAGGAAGACCATTCGGACAGTTCTGGAAATGTTAAGCACACTGGCCACATACACTTGAACTTGGTATGGTCGTCGGTCCGTTTTGCAATTTACATGGCTTCTTTCATAGTCAATCGTAGATACATAGTACTACATTAGGCATTACAGTATATGTAGGCATTCCATATTGGAATCTTTATGATTGAAGCAATTTATCACTTAGCACAGTTAAGAGGGTTCATTCAATTCAAGAATCAACCATGTGGGAAACGCGAGTTTCTTAAGTCCCCATAAATTGGTACAGATTTTTTTGTGAACTTACAATTGTTTTTAAATTTAAAAATTAAAATTTGTAGATAGAAAGAAAAAGTAGGTGATTGAATAACTTAATAACTTAATGCTCAGGGGAAAAGAAAAACTTCGTCTATAGCAATTTATACAATTTGAAAGCTTTGAAAAATGATATGTGATGATTGAACTACATTTCACCTATTTATAATTTACACACTTGATATGAAAATGTGAGGATCTAAAATTCTGAATTATTTAAACAGATTCTAATTTTTTACCTTCAAAATATAATGTATTTTTTGTTTTGAAATAATGAAATTGAAGTAGTAATTCCTGACAAACAGGAGTACTAAACTTCCAGTTCATTGACCATCAAAAACAAATTTTCCATAAATCCAAGAATCCAAGAGATTTTACTTGCTATAAAAAATAGTACAAGTACAGCAGTTAGTTTTTTGTGGGTCCCAGGTCACTGTGGTATAAAAGGCAACGAGGAGGCTGACCGAGCAGCGAAATGCGCTGCATCGAATGGTATTTACGTGCCGGAAGTGCCATGTGAAGACTTTGCTGTGTTTCTTAAAAGAAAAATTTGGAACCTCTGGCAATCGGAATGGCGAAATACCGAGGATAACAAACTCAGAGAAATTAAGGAAAGTGTCAGACAGTGGGACACGACAATGCAAAGATCTCGAAAAGAAGAAACCGTGCTGGCCAGGCTCAGGATAGGTCACACAAGACTAACACATGGTCACCTAATGGCCAGAGAACCTCCCCCAAGATGCACAACTTGTAGTGAAATAATCACCATCAAGCATATTCTGTCAACATGCAGAAACTACGAAGACCTTCGGATCAAACATAAGCTTGGAAACAATGTGACCGAAATTTTGAAAGATTCCCCAGCTAACATTAAAAAGCTTTTTGAGTTCCTAACTGAATCTGGGTTGACCGATAAATTGTGAATAACAATGAGTAGGAGGGCGGGACGGCCTTGGGTACGGGCGCGGCTCCTGGGGGGCCGGTGCCGGGGGTGGGTAGGGCTGGGCACGTGGGCTGGCCTCTGGGTTGAGTTTGAACCCCAGAACTTGGGAGGGCTGCGGATGCTGGCACACCATGCGCAGCCCTCTGAGAAGTCTGCCACTGTCTCTTGACCACTAAGGTCTTGTGTGGAGAGGAGCTGGTCTAGGTGTCTGGTTCTTGCCTGGTCTTGTGGTGTCCGGTTCACTGTGGGGGTGCGCCCGCTCTTGATGTCCCTGCCCTCCTGGCCTATCGCTCTCTGTCTTCTTCTCCCTACGATTAATTCATCGTCAAGGCAGTTTTGACCCATCGTGGTTGTATGCCTTTATAATATATATATAAAAAAAACTTCCAGTTTCCCTTTGAGTGTTAGGGCAAGGGCTTAAACCACTTTACAATATTTTTTTTATATATTATGATTAATTAAAAAGTCATGAGCTATGCCAGGATTTCCCCGCTATCTTGTCAAACACATATCAAATCCTAACTACTGTGCGACCATGGTGATATGTAATAAAAATTCGCTCAGTCATTAATGGAGTTTTTGGTGAATTAATGAACACTTGTTATTAACTGGAACAAGTTTTAGTAGTGAACTAGTGTAATAATTTTACAACTTTTTTCCACAGTCTTAATTTTTTTTTTCTGTTTGTTTCAGGAGGCATTTTGTCTCATTCACTAGCGATCGCGACAGATGCAGCTCACCTCTTGACGGACTTTGCCGGGTTTATGATCTCTTTATTCTCTTTGTGGATGTCAACAAGGAAGCCGACTCGTCTCATGCCTTTCGGCTGGCACAGGGCAGAGGTTATTGGAGCCCTCACATCTGTCTTAACTATTTGGATTGTAACTGGTATTCTAGTCTATATGGCCATTGAGAGAATTGTGCTGGGAAATTATGAAATCGACGCTTTTGTTATGTTAGTTACCTCAGCTGTAGGAGTAGTTGTTAATTTAGTGTGAGTATGAAATGATTCATCAAAATTTTTCATTTTTCTCCTTATTTTTTGCTAATTTTAATTGAAAATTTTTGCAGTATGGGCATGACACTACATCAGCATTCTCACTCCCATGGTGGCCACCACCATAATCAACTTGAGTCTGAACTTCCACTAAAAAAAAATAAGAAAAATATAAATGTCAGGGCAGCATTCATTCATGTCCTTGGTGATCTCATCCAAAGTGTTGGAGTTTTAATTGCAGCTATTGTTATTTATTATAGGGTATGTCTTAAACATTATTGTTCACACTTGATGGAACAAGAAAATTGATTTTTTTTCCCTTGCAGAATGACTGGAAAATAGTTGACCCAATCTGCACATTCCTTTTTTCATTTCTTGTGCTGATGACCACATTCTCCATAATCAAAGATGCTCTTATTGTCCTTATGGAAGGTGCGTAAGCAAATTCATATATGCGATAACTTATATAAAAAAAAATTTTTTATGCCTATTTAAAGGTATGCCAAGAGATGTCGACTTCAATGATGTTCTTAACACTTTCTTGGATATTGAAGGTGTAGTTGCCGTGCACAACCTTAGGATTTGGGCCCTCAGTCTTGACAAAGCTGCACTTGCTGCTCATTTGGCAATCAGTAAGTGTTGATATTACTGTAACAACTTCACATGTTGATTGTGTGTATCGGGTTGTAAATTAAGTCTGTAGCATTTTTTGATAGTAAATTTAATGACAATTTAAGGTCCTTGTAAACAAATTATAAGTGGCAATGGCCAAACTATCTCTCTATTTTTGCTTGTGTTTCTTTAAGTGATAAGAGAGTAGTCAGTGTAAGCGCTTCGCTACTTATTCTTGGTAGGGAAAGGTAAGGTTTGAAAATTTAATGAAACAGACAGTATATTAAATTCACTAATTTCGTGGTCCGCTTGACCAATTAATACATTACAATTAATTAAGGTTTTTAATTGAGATAAAAAAGTCAATGGCAAGAGCGGGATTCGAACCCACGATCTTCGGCTTGATACGCCGTTGCTCTACCACCTGAGCTATCGTGACCTCGATCCATCCGGATACTAACTTCCCATCTCAACGACACCTTTTGAATTTTCCCTCCTTTTTGCCATTTTTCAAATGTCATGTAATCGGATTGGATTCTCGACGACAAATGAAATGGCCACGGAGAGCTTTAGTGAAGTATAATTCATTTTTAAATCATTAAATTCACTAATTTCGTGGTCCGCTTGACCAATTATTATTCATTGGAATTGCCCCATGGGCCCTGATCACGATGGCTTTGGCCGTAAAATACGGCTTCGGGCACTGCTCCCGGAGCACGTCGTGAAGCACCATGTACTTCTCGCCCTTTGCCTCCGCAACACGGCTTAGCGCGTCGCCAGATTCATATGCCACTGCAAGATCTAGTACATGTACTTCATCTTGATTAGTGGCGACTATGTCCGGTCGCAGTGTTAACATCTTATTAAATAGTCAAATGGTAGAGCAGCGGCATATCAAGCCGAAGATCGTGGGTTCGAATCCCGCTCGTGCCATTGACTTTTTATCTCAGCTAAAAAAACCTTGATTAATTGTAATATGTTAATTGGTCAAGCGGACCACGGAATTAGTGAATTTAAGAATCTTATTAAATTACAATGTTTCAAATTAAAATGACAAATAAAAATAACTTAAGTACCTTTTTTCAGAGCAAATCATTGAAAAACATTATGAACTCATTTTCAAACTAAATACATATGAAAGTATACTGTCTGATAAACTCGATTAATTTTTGCATACGCAAACAACCAACGAAAAATACTTCTGCTTAATTTCTGTCAAAAATTTTGATAGTTCGATTGTTTTTGTTGCATAATTCATGTTTTTAAATAATTGTTTATTTATTCGTAGAACCAGGTGCAACTCCGCAGGACATTCTTAAAACTGCATCACAGAGGATTCATCAGAAGTACAACTTTTTTGAAATGACCCTGCAGATTGAAAATTTTTCCCAAAAGATGGAGGAATGTGTACAGTGCCAGGTGCCACGTTGATTCAATTAATTACCTCATCAGGGTTTTAATTTAATTTATTTAGAAATGGTAATGCCATTTTAAAAACTAAAGACTGGCATTCCACAACATAAACACCAAAGTGCCTGATATATATATGATATATATATGTCTATGTATACACATGAAATTATGTCAAATCACAAATTAATGTAATTATTGGTCCCTTGTTCCTTTGTTTGATTAAGGAATCCTGTTTATATATAATTATTTAATTAATAGTGTAGTTTTGTTTTACACTTGTTTGGCTCAGAATAATGAACAGACAAGGTCACAAAAAACAAAATTTTTGTACTTACAATAATTTTATTTTTTTTATGTTAAAAATAATGTTTTCATTTAATTTTTGCATATGGATTTATGAGGTACAATTTTTCATAAAGATATTATATTACTATGATTTAAGTTTTTAAATATATCTTTTTTAAAAAGATTTGTTTTTAATGTATCCATTACCTTTTTACCACCTCATCGTTTAAAAACAAAAAATATATTTGTAAAAAGTATTATTTTTGTATAAAGGAAATCAGCAATAAATTATTTATTTATCCATTGGATTAGTCCAAAAACAGAACAAACCCCAGGATAGCACCGTCAATTACATAATTCATATTACCTATTATAACTCAAAAAAATAATAATCAGAAAAATTTTCTTAAGTTAATGAAAATTTTAAATTTAAATTATAACATAATAAAGATAAATACATACAACAAAGAAAAAAAAATACAAACTAAATAATATGAAATTAGCGATTAAAGTTTAAAAAATAAATAAGTTAAAATAATAACACATTCTACCTTAGCTTTTCAAACATTAAAAATTTATTACCAAACATTCTTGCTTTGGATGATAAGCAGATTGTCTAGATAAAAGTTTCAAGTTTTATATTGACCAGCTTTAGTGATTGTATCATTTTTATTACATTAATTTAAAAAAAATTAACATTTAAAAACTTGACATGTTTCTAGAATTTATTCTCATCTTTAATAAATAAATATAATAATAAAAGCAAGCAATATAATCACTGAAGCATTTAAAGCGTACTTATGTGTACGGAAAAGTTGTCATTTTATTTCAACCCTCCAAAAAAATTTATTTCAGGACAGTTCCAGGCTATTGACTTTGCCTGATGATAGTCCGAGAAAGCAGTCCAAACTAAGCCGTTTGAAAGAGACTGTAAATAAACTATAATTTTAGGGTTCTGACATGATTAAAATCCATTGCTATACTCAGTTACAGGAGATTTCCGGTTTAACACGTAGTTCAGGTGCCAAAGCATCGATTAAAAGTACAGACACAAGAGGCTCTAGTAAACAGAAGGTTTATTTTTATTTATTTATTTATTTTATATTTTATTTTATTAAATTCTATTTAACAATCGGACATTAGGTTTAAGTTTTAGTTTAAATCTGTTACAAAATTGCTAGAAAAAAAATTTCTTGGACTCATGAAATCTGAACTCACCATTGAAGATGGTAAAATGCTGACAAAACTGCATTGATAGACAAGGAAGATTAGAAAAATCAAACTGCAAAGAAAATATTTAGAAAAATATTCTACCTTTATCTAAATTAAATATAGGGGGATGGTTTGAAAAATAAGCAAACCCTCAGTAAAAATCAATCAAGTATAAACAGCAGGACGTATAAATTGATTATGCATTACATTTGTTTGAATATCTTTATGTTCTTTCATTATTTATGATCCTCCTTTTTTGCTTAAAAAAATTACTCCTTTAGATGACATATTCTTTATGTATTTGCTTTCAATATTATTTTAATGTACTGTTTTAAATAAAAATTACAAAAAAGACAACTGTAAACTAAACTATCTATTTGTGAAATTAATGAAATTTCTTCTTTAGCGTAAGAAATCATCTCATAAACAAACAGCAAATTTAAAAGATTCGGAAGGTAGTTCAAGTGCAGCTGGTAAAGCAAAGCAGGTTGGTTAAAATTTATACACAATGTAAACCTTTTCATTTATTTTGTATTTTATGTAAGGAGAAAAATGCTGATCGTTCATCGAGTATAGCAGGACTCAGTCGAGATAGCCAGCCAAGAGGTAAAAGCACACCAAAGGTTAGTACATGTCGCAAAAAAATTATTTAATAAAATTTTCATTATTAACCATACTGCCTAACATTTTAGGAACGTTCTACGGACAGAGAAGAGATTAGAAAACATGGAAAGACTAATCCTAAAAAGAAGGGATTTTAGTCCATTTTAATGCCACTTCTTTTGCCTAAGTAATTATTTTGTTTCTGACTGAGAACAAACTGACAGATTTTTTTCCAGATAAAAGACAAATTGGAAGCTGATGGCTTATACATTCCCAACTCCAAACACCTATTAAACAAACAAGAAATTCGAGGGAATGTCCAGATTGTTAATACGATTTTTGAATACAAAGAAGATTATTTATTATTCTGTTATACATTGGTTCTAAAAGCAGATATAATCACACGAATTCAACAGATTCAAAAATACAGCAATACATTTTTAATATGAATAAGCGTTAAATTTTTAAATTTGGATGTTATAATTTTACTAGACTTCTCATACACTCTGGGGTTGTTGACAAGCTGGTGTTAAGACTATCCCTTTTCATTTATTCGTTTAACACGTTCACTGTGGGACCTGTTTCGTCTTGTTTATCAATTGAATATTTTTTGAGAGATTTCAAAGAATTGAGCTTGACATCACCATGACATCATCCACCAGTGAAAAAACTCATTGTTGACTCTGTGGTTTCATCGTAGTAAATGTGTTAAGAAGGAATGGAAAAATGAAAACAGTCCCTAATAGTTTCATATAACAATCAGTTAACTTATTATACACCTTTTAAACTTATCACATGAGAGAAAATGTTTTTATTTTTTTCTTATTCACTATATTATATACTTGCTTTTGAAGGCTAAAAATTTTACCTAACAAGTTCTTTCTGACAAAAATTTCCATCTTAATGTGCTAGAAATAGCCTACAATAATAAACACTTTTCTAAATTTTTCACTCAAAAACAATATCAGTAGTTTTAATTAAAAATATTTATTATAGTCGTGAGGAGTGGCCAACAATGAAATACACTGATAGACAAAAAATTCCATCCAATTTTTTTTCTCCATAAACAAAACTCTGCTCTTAATTTGCCTCATTGTTTTTATCAATAAATTTTTGTTATGCAATGTTTTAACTTGGGAATATCAATTAGAGATAAACACCCTTAATCCAAAACAAGGATAAAGGCTTTTTCAATGTTTACTATTTACGGAATTTAAAATGTTTATTGAGTTTCATTTGAACTCAGAAGCAATAAACTGTTTCATTTTCATGTTTGTTTTATTAATTTCAATTTTTAAAATTAAAAATGCCACTTAGTGCTGAGGATGCTGCGCGTGGTGTGGCTCTTATTGATGATGGACGTTCTATCAGGTATTCGGCTGTTGCCATCGGAGTTCCCTACGAAACTTTGCGAGACGCAGTTATACGTTTTCGAGAAACTGGGTCCTTCCATAGAAGGCCAGGTTGTAGACGTCCTAGGGTAATAGAACCACAGGATGACCGTTTTTTGACCTTTAGAATTTTGCGAAACCGGCGCCTTACTGTTGTTCATGGGATTCATCAGCTCCAGGAAGTTCGAGGTGTCCAAATTTCTGAACGCACTGCTCGAAGATGATTAAATCAGTATGGACTCATGGCTTTTCGCCCCAAAGAGGATGACAAGAACACACAGAGTTGCACGGCTCGCATTTGCTCGAGAACACAATTTTATTTGGACGATTGGTCTGCTGTACTTTTTACAGATGAATGTTGATTTGCTCTTTGATCTCCAGATTGGCGTGAAAGAGTGTGTAGAAGGCGAAAACAAAGGTACGAAGCCTGTAATTTTTCCCAGAGCCAACCTTTTCAACGTAGCTCAGTGATGGTGTGGGCGGGAATTTCAATGGGGAGTCGCACGGAGTTGGTTGTGGTTCGTGGAGGGTCTTTGATAACCACACGCTAGGCGGATGAAGTTTTGGAACATCGTGAGTTCCTTATCCTCGATGAAATCAGCGACAATCCTATTCTAATGCACGATAATGGCCGTCCACATGTCGCTCGCATACTACAAACGTACCTTCATCAGCATTACTTCAGGGTCAATTTTCTTGAAATGGCGTACATTAATAGAGACAATGTTTAACCATTAACAAATAAACCATTAAACTTTATTATGTTTCCCTTTCCTTTTTAGTCCATAATAATTAGCATCCTTTCTAATACTGAATAAACCACGAATCAAAAATGCAATCCAAGAAAATCTCCATTTTCGACTTCCTTTTAGTTAAATAAAACCGCCTATGATCAAAAAATTTTTCCCAGATTTACCGCGTTCCCCACTTTGCCATAATCATATAAAAACAGCAGAATACAAATTCATGTTTCATGATTTCACACAAAATCAATATAACACCACAAGAATACCACCACACTTTATGTGCGTATGAAATACTTGGTTCAAAATTTATATTTACATCTGTGTTGTATTTTTCCAATCGAAATATGTTTTGTAATTCATCCAGGCCCTGAAGATGATACGAATAAAGGTCGAAACGACGTTAAAAAAATGAAAAAGGTGTTTTTCTAAAATACTTCATTCTTGACCAAAACAAACATTTAATTAAAAATTTTTTCAAACCTCCGGTTTTTATTTCGGAGCTGAAAAGTTTCTATGCCACTTTCTCTTGTTAATTGACCATCGTTGAAAAATAAAAAAAAAGTAGAAAAAATAGTATAACAATTGAAGAAAACAAGTGAGAAAATGGGTGGCTGGGGAAACTAGAAGACAATAAAAGACCCTCCTTTTAATTGGTGTTGAGATGGTGTGCAATCTACAGCTAGCCGCTTCTTCTTACATCTCGTCTTCAAAATAATTGGAATGTGGAGCTTTTTTTTCTGTCTGGAATTTTAAGTTTCAACAATTCGACTGGAGACTGAAAAATAATGTACTATGAGTCGTACTATGAAATTGTCATGTGAATAAAAATAATTAAACAATGCCAATTAGGTTTTTAATTTAATGAATGATACATAGGCATATACAACATTGATTAATGTTATCTAAGTGGGAAAAAATGTAAAAAAATGTTTTTGGTAGTGAGGCATGTGATGATCTGCGCATCATCTGCACGCCTTGCAAATTTACGGTCATCACCACCCCATCATTGCTCAGGGGAAAAACCGGAAACTATATTTTATGGAATAAATTTATGGATTGTAAAAAAATAAAAGGTTTTCTATACTCCCTGCATTATACTTCCAATATACCAGCAACAGTACTCGACTTAGAGCATTAGGTCCTCAGCGCATTATAGTGATAACTGTAAATATGGTTCACCATTATCTGTACGTCACATAATTCACTCATCCGACAAGAGTCTCCATTATGTGACTGAGCGTCAGTCGGAAATGACCTATTCACAATCTCATATTAAAAATAATACTTTGTTTTTATGATTATTTAGAGCTCGAGAGATATTGCCTGGTGTGATGTAGGTTTAGAAAAACATTTTCTTTATCGTGCCAACGCTTTGATTTTTTTGAGATTATATTCAAGGCCTGGGATTTATAAACTTGTTTAAATGATACAAATACATATAAAATGTGACTATAAATGTATACCATGATGTACACAATATAGAAATTTTAGGTTTAATCAAAGTATTTGTACTCACTGAAAGTGTGTGTTTTTCTGAGAATATGTGTCACTGTTGTGTGTCGTGTGAGATATTAATGTTTTTTGTGTACATATGTTTGATTTTGAAGAAGTGAGTGATAGAAATTCATGTTTCTGTGGGAAGTCGGCACTTTGAGGAGAAAGGGACCGACAATGGAAAAAAGGGGTAATGTTTTGTTGTAAAACATTAATATCTCACTGGTACTCTCAACACGACACACAGCAATGTTTTTTTTCTACACCGAAAACCTTGATTGAATGTAAAATTTCTATCATTGTATAAATTCATTTTTTCACATCTTACATGTATTTGTATAACATAAACAATGTTTATAAATCCCAGGCCCTGAAGATGATCTCAATAAAGATCGAAACGTTGGCACGATAAAGAAATTTTTTATAAACCTAGGTCACATCAGACCGCATCTCACGATCTCCAAATAATCATTATGTATTTAAGTTTTCTTTTCAAACACAGGAATTTTACTGTACGTAATTACATTTCATATCCTAGGTATTTAAAAAAATATTTTCAATAAAGGCTTATTTGAAATGAAAAAAAAGAAGGCTAATTTGAAATGTATCAACTTGTAAAATACCAGGAGAAAGGTTAGCGAATCAGGTCTGAAGCATGGGGAAAAATTTCAATTTTTCTCAAATTTCCTTTTGTACTGTAAAGATAAGGGGGATTGTAGGTATAAGCTGAGAATGATGAGGCCCACGGTCTCGTGCCGTGTCCCAAAGAAATTATCAGAAAAGTGGAAACAGGAAAGTGAGGAAAATGTGCGGCTTAAGTGTCTGTCAAGCAAGTGTTGACAACGGCTGGCTTGGAACTTGGATGAGAGTCCCAATATCCAAGAGTTAAAAACTTCTTCCGTAATATCGGTCGGCGGGTATAAAAACGAGGGTCCTCGTGCCATGCTCCCCTTCCAGAATCCTTGCCGGTGAACTTGTAACGACACCTAAATTGCCTTTGGGAGCAATCTCGAGGCCGTCGGGGGATGGTCCTGGATGCAGGAAGGAGAGGCGCACGTGACGTGACTGAGAATAGTCGTCTCCATCTTCATCCGACGGGATTAAAACCCCCTACCGAAGAACAATTAACAATGAAAACTCTGTGGTGGCTCTTTCTCCATGAATAAAAGGACATCTAAAAAACAACACCCTGCAGATTTCCCTAGGTTTTTCCGGTGCTTTACTGGACAAGACTTTGCTGCAAACCCCCTCTTGTTTAAACTACATTGGAACTTAAAATATTTTACCACCAATGAGATCCTATATATCGCGTGATGTATGAAAGGAGTAATAAAATTTTTGCAAGATATGAAGTTTAATAGATTTTATTCGTTTTAAGAATAACGTCTTTGCAAAACTCAGTGGACGATCAAAAATACAATAAAATGTTTATTTATATAATTAGTTTTTCTTTTTCTATCCTGGTTTCAATATACAAGATGTCCCCTCAATAGACGTCAATACTTCGGAATGTTATTCTGCAGGTTAAGTGGGATTAAAAAGGCCCTATTGTCTATAGTCTGAGTCTCAATAATTGTATTGGAGAATTTTCACTTTTCACTTCAACCTGTGGGTAACTGCCTCACTCCGGTTGATCACGGATGGAAGTTATACCATTAAGAAACATCACAGCAGAAACTGTAGCTGAAACCTTCTATAAGAACTGGATTTGAAGATTTGGAGCCCTAGCTCATGTAATAACAGATCAAGGTAGACAATTTGAATCTGAGCAATTTAAGCAACTTGCCAGCATTTGTGGGATAAGGCTGCAGAGTTCTCC